CAACTGGTTCGTCCTCAAAGAATTTACTGACAAAAACATAGGGGAGAGAATGAAGTGGTCACCTCTAGGTTTTTTTCATCCGCCCATATATCAGGTCAGGAAATGTTACGACCCGCGTCTGGTACTTGTAATTAATACGAACGGTGAGGTAGCCTGACTACTGTACCCAAGGCCCTTACGAGAGAAGCCAGAGAAGAAGAATGACCACGAGCGGTGTGTATTCACACAAAGCAAGTTAAAGCAAGTCGTTCTCACGCAAAGGCTAGATGCATTTAAGGGACCGCGGGAGAGATATAGTCCGAAGCAATGGGCCAATCAGAATGGAGGAGACATGACTGGTCGTAGCGAGGTAGTTCGCGACGCCTTTGCGTGTGTTGACTCAACATAGGAATAGCGGCATTTCCAACAGGAAGTTTCCACTTAGAAATCTGTGTTGGTCTGGTATCAGGTCTCATACTTTATGCACTTGGCCTATCGGGCTCACCCTCTGTCGATCGAGATGGAGGATAGGCAGAGTCAGCTTATAATTATTTTCATCGGTTACTGTTAGGACGGCCTAGTGAACAGTCTTAGCAAGCAGTAGCTTGCAAGCCATAACCGCACTCCAAGCAGGCTATCGATCGGCCTACACGGTTGAACGTATACAAGCCGTCAATCAATCGATAATTCAGAATTCGAATTGAATGTCAGCCTCTAAGTCCGAGCCAATCGCATTAGTGACTAATACAGAAGTGGAGCTGATTGGTTTGAGGACATATCTTATACACGCTTCTAACACTCAACGATTTCTGCCGTTGTACCCCTCTTGTCGTGTTCTTCCTTGGGGACTCACACAAGGCGTTATTGGGCGGTTATATCTCGGCCTGGGCATCCTTTACAACAGTTACGACTATTAAGCCATAGCTAGTCTTTCTATTCGATGATAGTTTTCCAGGGTTGTCTTCATCGAATGCTTCGCAGTACTTCGCTTCCTGCGTGCATGCAGTCGTGTTAACTGTGGGGCAACACCAACTGCATGATAGAAGGCGAGAAAGAGAATTAAAGGAGTGTCTCAAATTTGACTGTTTGAGGACCTCGCTCCTTTTGCTCCACTTGGGGACATACAATATAAGGAGAACTGTGGCAGAACTGGAGCTGGGTGCCTTGAAGTGCCTTGAGGCTCGTACTTGAGTAATATCAGGCTATCGCTTAGTGACCTCAGATATATGATGGAGTAAATCCGACAAAGCAGAGGGAGACCGGCATGGCCATTTCCGGCTTGTTAGCAGTCATCAACTAGTCATACCCAATCTCTAGGGTTGGAACTACCGATATTCAAACCCGGGACCTTTGGTCATTGCGTTTACCACTCTACCATTGTACTACTCCAACATATGTAGCAGAACTGTAGTTCAGCCTTGGGGGTTTCATGTCTTAGTTGAAACGTTTATAATATTTCTTAGATCGGGCTCCAAAAAGGGCAGATTACCGGAGTCGAACCCTAATAGCCGAAAGACGCATGTTGATTAAAGGACGTATACACAGGCCTAACACTAATTTAGGACCTTTGATATCAAAATAAATCGATGTGTCCGTTTTGATACAAAGCATACACAAACACCCATATGCCATATTGTAGATTTTAATTGAATTTAGAAAATAAAAAAAACTGGAACTTATTCATAATTCATTTTCTTTAAAGTAAATAAACAGTGCTTGCTGGCACACAAATAAAATTTTCATCTTCTTACGACACTCAACCAAGTGCGAAGATACTCGAAAATAAAAATGGCACAGATCGTAAAGCATCATGAACAATGCAACCGAAGTTAAGTTTTAGCATCCGTGGCGCTCTTTTCATTAGAAAGGAAGAATGCGATGATAGGCTGCGAAAAATCAAAACTTCTTCTTTTTCTTGCCAAGAGGCCAGCCGTAATTTCGGTAAGCCATGGCCGAAGCCACGTCATGGGCAATATAATATAGATTATCTATTGCTGGGGGATCAAGGATATCAACGTTGCGAGGTATTGACACAGGAGTGGCCTGGGGTTTATCCTTGGCCTTGGGGTCTTTTGCATTCTTGTCTTTGTCAGTTGAAGCTCCTTCCTGAGGTTTCTCTTCTTTGGACTCGTCTTTCTTTTCTCCCTTTTTCCCTCCTTTCTTCGGTGGCTAAACGACAGGAATACAGGCAGTTACCATTTTGGATAAATAAGAAAGCATTTAAACGATGAAATATGGAGTGTCTTAAAGGTCAGGTTTTTTGATAATGTAGTGTTTGACCATATTCCTAATGTCGTTGGGATAAACTAATTTACATTTCAAAATAAGGTATTTTAGTTACTTGAATATCTTACTCCTGTATAGCTAAGACGCCATCAAAGACACCCTTTTCCCGCGTGATTGCGCATAAGATCTGAACATTTTTTAAATCGCCTTTCTTTCTTTCTCACTCGCCTGAATGTTTAATACTGACAGAGGAGCCTTTTCGTCATCATCTCTGGCAACTGATGGCCAAATATGGCCAATACGTCCGTCGCAGTTCAAGTCTGCCAGCCGATACCGGGTACGACAGATTCTAACTATAAGCTAGCATTTGTGTTGTCAATATGATAAAACATTAACAATATGTAGGTTCTTGATTGAAAAGGTTTTGCAGAATAGTATTAGGAGAAGAACATCGCGTCTTAAAGTCCGGTATGTAGGACGAAATGCAAGCGCAAATGCGAATGGCGGACATATTCGGTACGAATCATTAGAAATAAAGATTGAATCTCCGATTGCGTGCGGTTCTGCTTGGTAGCTGCTATTAACTTATGGCAAAAAAATAACCAATTTTCGGTTTTCACATCTTTTCCCGTCTTTTAAAAAATTTAATGACCCATTATGGACAATGAATGTTGTATGGTAAATCCAGAAGGGCACCTTTCTTTCCAAGCCTTTCGATCTGGGGCGTGCCAGACGATTACCTTTCTGGCCGATTCATTTTAATGAGCAGACACTATGCATTCTAGGACATTAGTTTCCTGATAAGGTGCTGTTCGGATCATGAACGGAGTCTGTCATTGGAACGATCTCTGTCCAGTCCTTTCGCGAGCTTTCTAATTTATATCTCTTCACCACCGCATGAGAAACAACACTTCCCTATGTGAATTACAAAGACATATTCTTTCATATAAGAGGCATGATGAGTGGGCTGCGTTTTCTTAGAGTACATTCAAGTCATGCTCGAACATCCCTTTTGCTGTCTATGTAGATACAGTGACTCTTGCTAATATTGCGTTTTCGATTGAAACGTACGTATGGTACTTCAGTTGTTTAGTTGAATGTGAAATCCGTCATATTATAGATAATCAGATCGTGGCCGATTTTGCTGTTCGCATTATTTCGGTCAGTAGGCTTCCAGTAACAATAAACGAATGTACTTCGAATTTTTGCCGGGATGAAGAAACCTCCTATAAATCAGAAACCTCCATAAGCACAATTAATTTAATACTGAGCACAAACACGGTCAAAAATTAAAGTTTTGAGGACCCTTCATCTCCCTTTTTTTAATACATTAATATAAAATAGGATAGAGACTGCAGTAATTTTCGCAGTTGCAGTTGGTGAAAAAGTCAATCTTGTGGGCTCTTGGCCCTACTGTCCACGGACAGTTGCAGCCGCTAGCCTTCTTCTCCCAGAAGCTTCAGCCG